TTGCCCAAAGACTGGGAGACCGAGAATGGTATGAACAGAGGAAACAATTTGAGTGCTGAAAATATTATTCAACTGGTTATGGCTAACTATATGCCTGCTAACCATGTTGTGGATGAGAAAGGGAAGAAGGTTGAAAGTGAAGATGAAGAAGAAAATGATGATGACGATGGGTATGGTAAGAGAGGGGATTCCTCCAGGACAAGAAATAATGGAGAGAATGGCGGAAAAAGGGACAGAGAGAGAAGAAAGTACGATGAGCGACGAAGGAAAAGCTTTGTCTGCTATTATTGTGGTGAAGGAGGTCATACTACCACCTACTGTAAACCTTTGAAAGAGGATGTGAAGAGAGGGGTGGCTAAGAAGGATGTAATGGGTCATATCTGTGACAGTTCATGGAACAAATTGGACCCCAGGCATCCAGGAGGTGTGAGACTTTTTGCCCTTAAACATGAGGAAAAGATGAAGAAAAAGAAGGAAAAGAAAGGCATCATGTTCACTTTCTCATTGGAGAATTGCCTGAAGAACTTCTGCAGAAATCTGATGATCCTTCCACCATGATTGAGTTGACTCTACAATCCCTGATGTTAGTGAAAAACCTTTCTGGTGAGGCTTTCCTAGGCAAGCCTTCATTTGAAGAAAATACTACTTCTCAAAGCTCATCTGAGTTAGTAGCATCCTCTTCTAATGAATTTGCTTGTTATTTAGTCACCATAAATTTAGGGTTGGAATCACTCCACAATAAGACGAGGTGACAGGGACTGATAACGAAAGGTCAACGGGTATTACGACCGTTGGTGTTCAGTCCCTTGCTTTGTTTTCCTTATTTCTGTTTTTTTTCTTTTCTTTTAATTTTATTTCATTCTATTATTTTTAGAATTACATGCTACTAATAAGCTGAATTTTAAGGGCTACCTGAGTTCCCCATTCTGAGCACGGGGATTGCGGTAATCAGTGATCCTATAAGGGGAAAAGGGGACTGGCCTTTGGCCATTTTGGGCATGAGTGATCTCGCTACGCCGAGTGTTGGCGAACCGAGAAAGGGGGGGGCTAGGTGGCGTGGTGAGTGCGGGAGATCGTCTGTGTGTGCATTCTAATGCTCTAAGTGTCTGGTCGCGACTATTCTGAAGTCGGTAGCCTGGTACCGTCTAGTCTACTTGAAAGGGCAGCTATGGTTCGAAGCAATGGGCTACACGGTTATAGGCCGAAGTACCTCCAGTTTATTTGGAGGTGGGAACAAATGTCGGGTGAGGGGCTTACTGTGACTGCCATCGTGGACTACAGCCGCTGTAATCAGAAGGCTAGACTAAAGGTGAATGTGGAAGGGGGGAAAGAGGAGATGAGAGTAGACCAGGGCCTGCAGTTGGCAATCACGGAGGCTAAGGATCGGGTTGAGAGGAGATGCAGGAGAGATGGGGTCACAAATTAATTAAAGGTGACAGTTTCTTACCTGGAAGCAGAGACGTCGACGGACAAAGTAGAGCGAGAGCAGAGGCACTTGGACCGCGACACAGAGGCTGAAACTGAGGCGAGCGACCTGAACGCAGAGACCGAGTCTTGGCACGGGTTGGATTGGTGGTGATGTGACCACCCTTCGTAGAAGACGGTCCGGACGCCGTCTCGCTTATACAGAGAAGTTGAGGCAAGGGGCGGTTACACCATCGCGTATAGAGAGGCCTGTAGCGCGAACCAGAGGCAAACCCGAGACGACGAGAGAGAGTTATGCGCGCGGCTCCCCTGTTGACGTCAGCATTCTCGAACGGGCTTTCGCGATGATGGGGGTGCGGGAGGTCTGTGCATAAGAAGGAAGGAGGGGTCAAACGCGTGACTCTCCAGGTGAAGTGAGCCACGATCTTGCTAAAGAGAGACACCTGCCATTCTCGGGGATGCCGTCTCCGTCACAGTGAAGTGCCCGTGAGCGAGTTATCGAAACGTCAACAATGGGTGAGAATGAGCTTCTTGCGGGAACGACGTTTTGTCTATGCGAGGGGTGATCCGGTTAGGGTCAGATTGCAGCACTAGCAACAGAAACGCCATGAGAGGCTTATGGACCACGAGAAGGGCATCTGATGTCAGTAGCATCTATGCACGCAGCCTGCATGAGAACTCACGGCTTGTGCTGACATTTCCCGCCTTATCAATGATGTCAATTTTGGTGAGTTGTGTTGCGCTTCACCTTCGGTATGGTAGCCAAGTCTTGGGCGCGTGCGAGATACTACCTTCTTGTGCAGGGGGTGATGCCTTCCGACTCCCGAAGTCATGACGCCGTGCGCAGAAGTCATCAGTGGTTATCATGAACGAGAGAGATTGGAAAAGCCTTTTAGAGTTGGCGCCTCTTTTCCTGTCTGAGCTACTATGCTCGAGAGAGCGATAGGCTTACTAGACTTACTCCCAAGAGAATTTTCAACTCGCAATCACGGGCTAAGCCTTTCAAACATGGTTGAGCAATAACCTGTTGAGAGGGGTAGCGCGAAGGTGGAAGGGGTCGATACACAAGAGAGTGGCCTGTGAATGAAACGTGGAGAATGGTGTGCAACTGTTCTTGTCGGTAGATATCATTTACTCGTGATAGTAACGAGGCTTAAATCAGGGAATTGGACGTGCACGGAGCAAACGCGAGCGGCATTAGTGGTTAGTAAGGGAGAACTTCCATTCACGAAAGATACTGCTGGGAGAAAACTCGACAAGTGTGCCTTCCTGACACTGTCTGTTCTCCAGTCTGATATACTTTGACTTGAGGTTGTGTTTCATCTCAATCCTCCGGGCTTCGTTCTACACTAACCGTCGCTTTACACCTTTAGCGAGTGGTAAGTATGAAACTTCTTGGGTGAACTCCGAGTTTGCTCGCACTCTGAATATCATTCGCATCTGTGCGGGATCGCTACTCATCGTCATCCCCACTGTGCGCGGTTAGCCGCAGACTGTGTTCACACTATGGAGGGCTGCTGGCCATCATGTGTTGTCCAAAGGTTAAGAATGGAGGGAAATGGCCATTGACTAGTGAGTTCGATAATCAGAACCGGACCGAGAAGTTGAATAGACAAGGTAAACTACGGACGTCGGATGGAGTCCTATGCACCCTGAGCCAGTCATTATTATTAATGGGGAGTTGTTATAATGGAGTGTTAGCAGGGGAACAAAAGGGGCGAGACAGGGTAACAACTAAGTATGTATGAGTGTCGTCGTTAGAGATCGGTGGAGTCGCTAATTAGTAGTCATGACTAAGCACTTTCTTTGATAGAGTCCTAATAATTGTTCTACATTTGTTGCCCTGTATCCCTTGGCCCACGATGTGCACACAGTCCCAGACGGTACTTGCTGAACAGGACCGGACTGACTATCTGGGACTGCTGACTGGGCTAGGTGGACTACCACCACTTGACCACTTGCCTCTGCTGAACACAGGCCAACTCCGAAAGGCCACTTCTAGAAGTCTCGAACTTGGCCTTTCGGTACTGTAGCAGCTACAACTTTGCCCTTTCAGGTAAGTAGCAGCTACGACCTT